TTTAATGGAAACAAAATAAAATTAGGTTATGATGTGACATGTGATATATAGATTGAGTATTCACTATTCAATTGGATGAGATTTGAGTCTAGATTCAATGTGCTTCTAAAAAAATGATTATTTTAATAAAAACTCCATATATGTGTATATATTTCCACGTTGACCAAATATTAATATGTCCACCACTTATGTGGTATACACACATTGGTGATGTATTTTTTAAACATATTAACATCATCAGTGTGTGCATACCACATAAGCAGTCGACATATTAACATGTCTTCACCGTGGGTAGTGGAACATTACTATTCAGTTACATATTTTTTAAATTAAATTTATTATTACAATAAAACTTCTTATACATATGGTTGCACATATTTTTTTGACATAACTTTGTAATATATTTAAATTTAACTAAATATTGTGTTTTTTTTATTATTATTCTTATGCCTTAAAAAGTCTATTAACACCATAACTAAACAAAAATGTGAATGCTGGTAAATTTATATTAATTTAAAGTTACACTATTGAGTTTTGCCCCTTTTATATGGTACATTTGATGGAGGAGTTAGTGGGGATGGTGTTCAATTTTGGCTGTCATGATAGCTCTATTTTTTTTATTTTTTTTTTATTTTTATTTTATTTTTTCTCTGATGTAATAGAAATAAGATTAATTCAATTAGGAATTACTAAATCGAAACTTTGGTAATACCAAATGATGAAATGAAAACCAAACCTAGTTAAACTTTTGGTAATACCAAATGATGAAACGAAAACCGAACCGGTTAATCTGTTGGTAATACCAAATGATGAAATGAAAACCGAACCGGTTAAACTTTTGTTAATACCAAATGATGAAATGAAAACCGAACCGATTGAATAACCGATAGGCCAAATTGGGTTTATATTTACTAATTTCGAAAATTTGGGTGATACCAAATGATGAAAGAAAAACCGAACCGGTTGAAAATATCAGCATTTTCAGGCAATGGAAAAAAGCTTATTTTAGAATCTCTAACATGTACTGTTTGGTATAAGAGAGCTCTATATAAATTTGGACCATAATTTAAGCATTTATTTCACTGAATTAATAATTGGTCCATTAATCACTTTGCAGTTTTTCAATTCTTTTGGTTTTAAAAAAAAAAAAAGTTGCCATCCAAAATTTCATGGTGAGTGCAAATTGAAGTGACACTACAAAAAAATTTCTCATTGAATTCGTTGGAATAGCTATTCCAACGGATATTCCTACGTATAAAAATCTGTTGGAAAAACGGCGAATAGCAAATACCCAAGAAAAATCTTATGGAAATAAATTTCTACAGCTATCCAACGAAAAAAAATCCGTTGGAATTCCTCAACTGTCGAACACTTATTCCAACATAAAATTAAGTTTGTTAGAATATTTATTGGAATTTTCAACGGAAATATTTGCCGTTGGAATTTTTCGTTGGAATTGTAGTGTTTTTTTTGTAGTGTGAATTGGAGGGTTTCTTGTTTAAATATTTTTTGCTTCTCATTTTTTCAAAATAATAAAAAAGATTGCAAACTTGCAGTCTTTATAATTTATAAATAAAGAAGATGCTACGATTCCGTTATTATTCCATCGGAGTTTGTAACCGTTGGATCAACTATCCCCGACGGTTACATAATGATCTAACGGAACCGAACCGTATCATTTCCCTATAAATAAATATACTAAATAGTTGTAAGGAGTACAGTTGTGAAAATGGTGTATGCTTCCCTGTGGTTGGTCCATAGCTATATCCTATATATATATATATGGTGGACTGGTCCATTTTTTTGTGGGTGTAAAATTGACAAAATTTATTAAAAGTATTCATGTGACTTTGCCAGTTACGTGTCTCTTTTTGTAAAATATTCGTGTTGTATAGGGTATAGTATTATTATTTGTTACCAGTAACCAGTGTTTTTCAACCCGGACCGGCCCGACGGGTCGACCCGGGACCCGGTCGACCCGGAGCCAGAATCGGTCCGGGTGTGCTAATTAGACCGGATAACAAATGAACCGGTCAAACCCGGTCAAAACCCAGCCTTGACCCGGTCGACCGGGACATTGACCCGGCCGAGTCAACCCG